CGGGGGGCGCTGAGCGCTGCCCCGCCGCAGTTCGGCGGACAGGCCCACGGCGAGGTGGATCACACGCGGGTGCAGTGCCGAGCGCTGGACGGCATCGAGTGCGCCGAGCCGCGGAGCTTCCTGCGGGGCAGCCGGCCCTGCGTCAAGTAGGAGAGTCCCTGGCCCCCCGAGCACCCGCCGGACCGAGCGCCCCGGGAGCGGGGCCGGCCCGGCGGGGAAGGCCGGCACTCCCTGAGCCCGGCGCATCTTCTCTCGCAGGTACACGGGACACTACTTCATCACCACTCTGCTCTACTCCTTCTTCCTGGGCTGCTTCGGCGTGGATCGGTTCTGCCTGGGCCACACCGGCACCGCCGTGGGGAAGCTGCTGACCCTGGGGGGCCTGGGCATCTGGTGGTTTGTGGATCTGATCCTGCTGATCACCGGGGGGCTGATGCCCAGCGATGGCAGCAACTGGTGCACCGTGTACTGAGAGGGGCAGCTGGCCCCAGCTGCAGCCCCTGGGAGCCTCTGCTCGCTCCGAGCACCAGCCCAGGCTCTGCCCAGCACAACGTGGACTTCCAGAACTGTAACTCAGGGTGCACAGCAGTTACTCTTGGTTAAGGACTCTCTACCAACCTTGGACACAAAGTTGTTCAGGATATATTTTGCTTGTTTAAAATAATCTGGCTTCCCACTGCAAATAGTGTCAGCTTAAGAGCTTGCAAACACAGGGCATCAAACAAACATTAATAAAATCTGGAAGGTGACTCCATGTACTTTGAGGATTAGTAGAGTCTCAGCCACAGATGAGAATGAGGCCACAGGGTCATGGTCTAGCCCTGAGCTCCCCTGCCAGCCCATTAGACAAGTCCTGAGCCCTGGTCACCTTGGGGTCATGGGCCACCTGACCTGTGGGAGCAGTCAGGGAGCTGGGAAAGGGCCAGAGGTGCCAAGAGGCAGCTCCTGTCTGTGTGCCAGGCACCCCTGTGTCTCCAGCCCCAGAACAGGGCACCTACAGCAGCCAAAGGGTGCAAGAACCTCACACCCGAAAGAGGAAGCCCCACAGCTGCAGGTTAAAAACTTAACAAGCTGAATAAAATGGGAAAAGGAAGCTGCAACAAGTCCCCGGCAGAGCCAGACAAAAAATCCGTATATGCAAATGTCTGGTCACATTTGAGATAAAACAGCAAACACACACTTGGCAGCTTCGTCTGGGGGGGTGGGGGGCAAATTTGTCCTGAAAATACAGCAGGGCTGGAAAGTCTGTGGAGGGGAAAAATTTCTGCAGTGACCTAGAAAGGAAAAATATAATAATCCCATGTGCAAAAGACCCCTGGTCATTAACAGCTCCCGTGTCTCCAGCCCCCCACTGCCAGCTCACAGCAGGACCTTGGTCCAGCAGCTTCCCTCCTCCCCTAAGAACATCTGGGACCTTGGTCCAGAAAGAGCTGTGATGTCCCTGCCCTCACTGTACACTGTTACCCCAGCACAGAGCCCATCCCCTGTGCAGGGCAGCAGCATTGTGAGGAGGGGGAAGCACCCACCCCTGCTCCTGGGATCTCCCCAACTGCTGCACAATTCCCCAGCCTGGGGGGACAGCATTCAGTGCTCCTGGCACCCCTTACCCAAAATACACAGTGCAAATGGACAGCTTGGGAAAGTAATAGGGATTTCCTTCTTTATTTAAAAACACAGGGGAGAAAGGGCATTGCAGCATTTACAGGCGAGGCATGGGAGGCAGGTAGCCCCCACCCCGGGAGTCACGGAGAATTGCCTGCAAGGGCCCCAGCCCTAAGAGCACTTGAAATCCCCAGCCAGCACCTTCCAAACATCTGGAACCACGTGAGAATGGCAAACCCCTCTCTCCCACCACCCTGGCCCTGCCAGGCACCCCGAACCTGCAGCACCCCCAGAAAAGCCCCACAGCACACGCTTCAGGAGGGAGCAGCTCCAGGGGGACGTGTCCATCCCACGCCTGAGCCAGGAGTGAATGCAGAGCTGAGGGAAAACCAGTTTCTTTAAAATAACCACAAAGCTCCATCAAGGTCTGGCTGCATCCACCCACACCTTTGGAATGGGAGGGAAATCCCTCCCTCCCAACAGCACCCGTGTTACGGATGGCTCTGGAGCCCAGCTGAGCTCCACACTTGTCTGAACCTCACATTCAGCCTTTATGCTGTGCTGGGATGCTGGAGGGTGGGAATGAGCAAGAGGAATGTTGCAATAGTGCTGGAGCCACTGGTAGTTTCTGCTCCTGGATAATTAACCTTAATTGTGCAACCAGCCTCTGCTTTACCTTCCCAGGCCTGAAGAAACTGTGCAATTATCAAGCACCAGGAATACTCGGGAGTCTGTGGTTCCAAAGCCTTGCACAAAGGAACCATCATCCCTCTGCATTCCCTGCTCTGCAAAACCAAGATCAGAACGCTGTTTATCTAATGCTGTGACTGATGGATGGGCTTACCAAACTACTAAAACATTCTTGAAACAGAGCCAAACAGCAAGTCAGCCTAAAAAAATGAAAGTTTCAAACTCTAGTGCAAATAAAGAAAAAAGGAGCAGAAAAGGAACAGCAGGATCTAGGTAGCTACAATTAAATAATACTAACACTCACCTTGTACCATTTGCATTGATTCCCGCTCATTTTCCTGGTCTCTGTGTTCTCCAGAGCCTCCACACAATCCCCTTTTAGACCCTCTTCCCCCTGGACTTGGGGGACCCCATTCCTGCCTCCCCAGCTGCACGAAGCTCCACTGTGCCCATCCTGCAGCAGCCCTGCTGGTCCCACAGGGGACTGAAGCAGGAGGAACCACTGGGACAGCATTAAGGTCAGTCAAGGCTCAGGCTGAGGCACAGCTGTCAAACAGCTGGAGGCCCCAAAAGGGCCAGGACAAACCAGATGTTCTGCTCCTGGGGAACACACTGGGCTGAGCCTGCAGAGCAGAGGATGTGTCATGGCCAGGGAAGTGAAAGGGAAGCTGAGTTCTCGCTCGGCACCCGGGGATTGCACACACTCGTGGGGTGAAGGTATCAGACGATCTCTCTGCTGAGGGAACACCTGGATTTTCTACATACTATTTATCACACCTACAGGAGCTCATTTGGTTATGGAAATGAGGATTCACATTGCTCTAGAAACTCCTGCTGGTTTCCATCTCGGGCAGGCAGTGGGTGAGTTGGCTGGATAAGTCTGCCCAGTTCCATCAGGTGCTCGGTATTTGTTGCTTTTTACTTAAAACTCTTCACCACCTGGCACAGCTCTCTGTGCCCAGGTGTGTGCAGTGCAAAACTGACACCGTACCTGAGGATGGACAGTGGGAGCCACTGTGGCTCCGGCTACCTGCCCTGGCTCGTGCTCAGGAAGCACCAAAAGCCTTTGGAGGGGCTGAGCACCTGCCCAGGCTGGGGTTCAACAGGAACCACAGGTATAAAAAGACTTAATCAAAAGCCAGCAGATTGCTGATAAACCCTTGCGTGGGCAGTGGGAAGAGCTGCTCTCTGAGGGAACAAGTCGTTGTAAGGGGAAGCTGCAGTGAGTCCCCGAGTGGGCAGCTGCAGGCTGGTGTCTCCCAGCTCTGCCCTGGGGAATCTGAGCAGCATCAAGGGGGAGAGAAACATTTTACAAACACAACAAAGGCTACACTCCCCCTCCTCATGCCTCCAAGACCTTCTGCCACTTCATCCAGACCTGGTTTGTGGGGGAAATGATGCAATTGCAGAAGACGTCCCCTCATACAGGTCCCAAGCGTCTCCTGCCCTGCACAGCGAGTGCCGGCAGTGCCCAGAAGCACCGCCATGGAACCAGTGGGGCCAAGCGTGGGCAGGAGCAGGCAGGGACCCCGCTCCCTGCAGAGCAGGGAACGGGGATGTGGCTCCAGGTGGATCCTGAACTGCAGGAAGGGCTGTGGTGGAGGGAAGGGACCACCTCGCACACCCCGAAGGGCCCCCAGGGATCCCCGCAGCCAGGCAGGTGGAGCCGGCGGCGGCTCGGTGCCCGCTCAGACGTCGGAGGTCCGGATACTTTCATCGTCCAGGTCAAAGGCAAACGGCTTCCCCTTGAGCTGCTGCGGCTCGGAGCGGTGGCGCAGGCGTGTGCCACGCGTGGCCGAGTCCCTGAGCGGGGCTGGCAGCTCCCCCAGCGCCGGCCGCTGCCCCTCGGCCGCTGGCACCGGCGTCCAGGGCTGCCAGGAGCTGCTGGAGGGTGCCTTGCACAGGGCTCTCCGCTCCTCTGCCGATGGCCGCGGCTGAGAGGGGCCCGAGGAGCCCCCGGGCCTGGCCACGGAGCTGGATCTCACAAAGGACATCTCCTGCAAGGACAGGGCAGAGCGAGGCTGCTCAGATAATCCACGAAATAAGTATCTTGTACGTTGGCACAGTCTCCATCGGACAGTAAACGTGAAACTGAAGGTACATGACCTACCCTGGGGCGGGTTTTCAGGGCCTGCACTGCCCCTGTGATCGCCCGGATCCAGCTGTGCATGTCCTCGGGGCTGTCTGCCTGCAAACACAGCAGCCCCAGTGAGGCTCAGCTGTCCTGGCATTCCCAGGGCTCAGCTCTGCCTTCTCCTGCTCTCACAATCATTATAAATAATCCCACGGGAGAAGTGAATCCCCCCGCAGTTCTCCCTCACACTCGTGTGTTACAGCCCCATCTGCTCATGTTCACTGGCAAAGGGCTGTGGGGAACAGCCCATTTCCCGAGAGCTGAACTTTCTGCCCCAAAAATTATCCTGGCCTCAGCTGCTCACCTGGATGTAGAAAGTCCTGGAGCCCGTTATGATTTCAAAGAGGTTGTCTCGCATCAGGAGGTCACTAGAAACAGTGAGAAAGGGACAGTCACACCCCAGCAGCTGTTGTGGACAGGAAAACCCCGGTGTTTATCCTCATCTCTGGAGTGTGCAGGGAGGAACCTTGGATCTCATTGGGATTTTGAGAAGAGCCCAGACCCCAGGGAGCTTCAGCCAGAAACCCCCCAGCTCTACCATCAGCCAGCAAACCCCTGCCCTCCCCCACCATAACCCACTGCACTCCCAGCTCACTTTAAATATCAGCTTGCTATTACTCATTAGGAATACACAGTTCAGAGATACATTAATACATTGTATTTTCACTTTAGCTGAAGAGGTTTGTTTTCTTAGGTTATTTTTCATTGCCAGTCTTTAGGTTACTTTGATTTTATCAGTGTTTGCTGCAGTAACTTGTTCCCGAGACACTGCAGCCCCCTGGGCTAGGTGAAGGCCAACACCTCGAGAGCCACTTCCCACGGCTCCCACCGGCTGCTCTGAACCAGCCCGGGGCCACGGCAGGGAAACGTGGGTGAGAGCATTACCCAGACTTGACCAGGCACTCGTGGGTTTTGCAAACATCTTTCAAGAGAATCGAACGCAAAGGCTCCTTGTCCTGCAGAGGCGAGAGGAGACAGCGTGGGCTTGGCTGGCCCCGGGGCTGGCACGTGCCCATCGCAGGGTCCCCGTGCCAGCACAGCAGCGGTGCCAGAGCCCTGCTGGGGCCTCGGGGGAGCTGCTCACCTGCTCACACTTGTAGTAACTGATGGAAAACTCATCCAGAACAAAGTACCGCCGCTTCCAGCTCTTCCTCTGCAGAACAGAAAGAAATTGCTCGATGCTGGGCCCTGCCTCTCCCTGGAGCAGCCCGGGCTGTGGGGCAGCCCCAGCCCTGGCCAGCACTCACCACGTTGCCCTGTTTGACGCAGAAGCCGCTCTTGAGCGCGGGCGGCCCGGCGGGCGGCCTGGCAGCCGAGGGGGGGATGTAGCTCTGCGAGCGCCGCAGCAGAGGATGCGCGGCCACCTCGCTGCCCTCCCCGCCGTCCTGCAGCAGAGAGAGCCACCGTGAGCAGGGAGGCCAGCCCTGCTGGAAGGCCCTGCAGGAAAAAACCACCTGACACAAGCCCCGAGTGAAGTGTGAGAGCCAAGGGCTCCTGGCAGTGCTGAGCACGGGCAGGGCAATGAGCCGGAGCCCAGAGCTGGTCTCTCGCTGTGTGTGGCTTTCTGGGCTGCTGCCCTGGTACTATTCACCCTTTTGGCAACCAGGTGTTAAAAACGAGAAATCAGAAGAGCTGCAGAGAAGCAATCTGAGGGCTGAAGAAAATCCCCTGCAGAAGGGGAGTGAATAGAGCCCATCTGCCTGGCTCATCATGGACAAAGAGGTGACTCGACTGCACCACCGAAGGTATGAGAGAACAAGAACCACCAGACAAACACAAGCTAGAAAGGAATGCTTTCCAATGGGAGAAAGCAATATACCATGGGAATAAATTGCTCAGAAAAGCCATAAAGTCTCTGGTTGTCATTTTCAGAGCTAAGTTCTCCCAAGGATACTTGGGTGTTTGGAGTTCAGGAAGTGAAGCTGTCCCTGCCCAGGTGCAGCACAAAGGAGCTGTGGTCAGAACCGTGTGCTCAGCACCCACCCCTGCTTTCCCTGAGCACACCTCAAGGGCCAGACCCTCCAGCATCATCCCAGCAGTGCCTTCCCTTCCCCCCCAGCAACACAGAGGATGGTCGAGATGAAACATCTTCTGCACTCAGCTTCTTCCCCATCCCTCCAAGCCCTTCCCCGCTTGGCTGAGGTTTGAGCACTGCCATGGCAGTGGGATGGCCACTGCCAGCCTTATACAGCCCCGGTCTGGGTAAATCTGCCTGCCCAGCACCTTCCACAGCTGCTTCTGTGTTCCCAGAACACACAAACAGCTTTTCATCTGGCCTCAGAGTGCTGCCCAGCCCCTGCAGAGAGCAGAGCAGCACGGCTGCAGCACGGCCAGGACGGGGATGCCACCCACGGCCTGGGCTGTGCCACCTCTGCAGGCATCACACAGGTGGTGCCCAAAGCCAGGGGTGAGGACACGCCTGCAGCTGGGGTGCCACATGCCCAGGAGCTGGGGTGATGCTCCTGGCCGGTCTGGGGTGCAGCCAGGGCATCAACTCCCCACTGCAGTCCTGAGCAGCAGCGGCTGGGACCCAGCCAGGAAACCACGGACACGCCCAGGAAGCTGCAGCAGGGGAATGGCCATTTCCCACAGGGGAAGCAGCAAGAGCACGGAAATATTCTGGCAGCTGATGCACCACCTCCAGAAAAACCCCTCTGCGCCCCACAACCTCCGTACACCCCTACATCCTGCCAAGCCCTGTGGCCAGGGAAGTGTTAAAAGCATCTGCCAGCAAAAACTGCTGCAATGATTGAATTCCCTACTCTATTTTTAGTGCTGCCACTGATAAGAGCTGGACAAGTGCCCAAAGGTGGGAGACACTGATGGCCACGTGCACACCCAGCCATGTGCCAGGGAAGGGGATTAGAGCCACGGCCAGCGGTGCCAGCCACCACCCCGGGGACAGTCCCCCTGTGGTGGAGGCACCCAACAAGATTCCTCTGCCCTGGGTACCTCAAGAGTGGATTTGCACCCAGGACACGTGGAAAGAAGCTCCATGACCTCCTCCTCACTCCCCCTCGTCTCATCACACTTCAGAGTGAGACAAAGCAGAGGTGTTCAGGGTGCTCAGAGCAGCCATCGATACCTGCAGGGCCAAGGCTTTGTAGGCACACTGTGTCCAGAAATGAAAGTGCAAACCAGCTCACCTGGTTGATAGAGATGGGTGTGTGCACCACTACTCCTGCAACGATCTCGGTTTTGTAGGCCACCTGGGGCTTCCTCTCCTGCGCCTGGGCCACCACAGAAGGCTTCGTGATTTCTGTGGCCGGCGGGACGCTGCCACCCTTTGGCACCTGTGGGAGAAAGGAAGGGATGAGGGACACAGGATGCTGGGTGTCCCCAAACCTGCACTGGGCACCCCATCTCTGTCTAATGCAGCAACATCCCTTTAGAAACAACTCTGGCCGAGCAGCCCAGTTAGGGAGGGTGTGGAACCCCCTGGGAGGCAGGAGACACCCGGAGGAGAGATGAGAGGAGCTCAGTGATTCAGCATCCCTTCACAGGCACCTGTGATTTGCCTCTGCAGCTCAGTGAGTTTGTGGGACGCTTGCTCCTTTAATTGTCCCTGCTCCAGTTACAGCCAGGCTTAATGAGGAGCTGGGTCTGGCTAACGAGGCTGATCGGCACGGCCACAGCCGTGACCCCAGCGCTGGCCGTGTCCCCCTGTGAGCGGCCCCAAACGCCTGGGCAGAGGCTGGGATGCAGCAACACGGCTCCCAGCAGGGTCATTCTCCCTTTCCCTTCCCAGTTCCTTCCTTCTGGCACCTGGCTCTGCACAGAAAGTTATCCTTCCCAAGTTTCCCTTCCCAGCCCCACACTTCAGCTCCCCTAATGCCAGCCCCGCTGCTGCCTTGCCCACAGAGTGGGGCAGGGTGGCAGCATCACCCGGTCCCTGTGGCCCCAGGGGTTCCAGCCAGCCCGGGACAGCTCCTCCCTGAAGGGCTGGACGAGCCGGTCCCAGCCGGGGCGCGGCCAGAGCCGGGAAGGGCTGGCCAAAATCAGGGCGTGGAGATCACCACGGTTTCTCGCAGAAGCAAGAGATGCATCTCATTCTGCTGTCACCCCAGCTGCCACCTCTGCCAGCCTGGCAGAATCCCCCAGCCCCGCAGGCTGCCCAGAGGCAGCGACCCTGGAGGAAAGTGCTGCCAATGCACCCAGACAGAGCCCAGGCGAGCTCTGGCTACAGCTCTGCCCAGCTCTGGAGGTGGAATCTGTGGCTAATATCAGCTGGAGCCAGCCAGAGAAGGCTCGGGCCAGAGCAGCCTGGCAGCTGCAGATGCAAAGGTTGTCACACTTCATGTGTTTGCAGAGAAAGAAGGAAAGTACGAGCTAGGTCTGGTCTTGCAGATGAGTTTCCCACAGAGACTACAACATGGCACTCCAGGGATTTTAAAGAAAAAACTCATGGATAGGCCCCAGTCAAAATGTTTACATTATTTTTCCTCACATCTAGTTTACATACCACAAAAAACACACATCAGTGCACGACCCAGTGAAACTCTGCTCGCGTGGCCCCACTGCTCAGAGCAGTTCAGCAGAAGCCCCCAGCCCTTTCCCGGGACCCCCACCCAGGCAGAAACTGTCCTGGAGCTGCCAGCCCCCAATCCCTGGTGCAGGGCTGCGAGCTGAGAGTGCCCCGGCTGCGGAGGGGCTCGGGGAGAGCGGGGACAGGTGTGG